CCTTGCACAAAACGACGATCATTTTCCTAATTTCATAGATAACAGAAGACTGTATTTTTTCTACATCCGCCCCTGTTCTTGTGGGGGTTCCACCAACTGCAGACAATCAACACCTCTGCGTTGCTAGTAAATAAGCCAAGGTCCGTTGATGACACCCGGTGTCACCGACTATCAAAATTGCAAGTAGCAGACCGAAAAAACCAATTTTTTTGAATATCCGGCTAAATTGGCGCCTCAGCAGCATGGCCAGATCATCCGGCAATTTGCAGCAGAAATTGTCGCAGATAAACAGCCGGTCGCGCTCAAGGGTGCGAGAGGGCAAAGTGTCCCGCAACCCGTTCATCAACTTTCTGGCCGAGTTTCGCGCGACCAGAAAGGGCGTTAAAATGACCGAACTGAGCAAGCAAGCAGGACGCGAGTGGCGCAACATGAGCAAGGAGAGCAAGTCGCCCTATCTGCAGATGGCCCAAAACGCCCCGAAGAAGAAAAGTGCGAAGTGGAAGTCGCAGAGGAGAAGCACTCGAAGCACGCAGAAAAGAAGCAAGCGGCGCAGATCCGGATCGAAAGTGCGACAGGCGAAGCAGGAGCCCACCAGACAGGAACGCTGCAAGACGGCTGTGGACAAGCCGAAGGACTGAGAAGGACCATGAACATCTAGTCGACACTTCAAATGTGTTGTTTCAGTGGCATTAAGATTAAGACTCATCGCATACGTTTTATTCGGTTTCCTATGGAAATTTGCGTGGAAAATTGTTCATAAAAGTCTCTACATTTACATCACGACTGTTTCTAACTGCCCAAGGCACTGCACATTTCACTGTTCTTCCGATTTAGGGCGTATGTGACGCCTGGGATGGATTGCCTCCTGTTGAGGGCCAACTTCAGGCGATGATTCGCCGCGGGAATTTGCCCCAGTTTGGTCACTTGATGTCTAGAAAACAACGTTTTTAGGCACCCATCGCATTTAAAAGCTTGCTTGAAAATGTTTCACCTAAACTCGGTGTCCGGCTGGGACAATTTCATGCACAGCTTCACATTGGCTGAGAAATCGGCGTCGATTTCCAAATTGAGTTTCGGCTCCAGAGAGCCCAAGAAGTCCAGCCGGCTCTGAGCAAACGGCGTGCTCAGGGTTAGCGAGCCTTTGGAAACGTAGCCAACGCTAAAAGTGCCTGGAAAATAACCAAACGCCCGCACAATATTGTAGAATCAACTTACGATTTCTTTATCAGGGACTGCGCGTTTCTATTCCAAATGGAAAGCTCAATTTTGCCGGACAAGTCAAAGGAAACGGCGCCCTTCAAGTCGATATCGATTACAAATCCATTCCCCAGTCGTAAGTATTCTTTGTGGTCTTGACTCAAAATCAGCGCCTGGAGGCAAAAGAACTGGAATGGCAAATGAGGACAAACTGCCTGTGCTGCCCAAAAATCACCAACTGCTATTTTCGACTCGTTTGGTCTTTCGATGCATGTAGCATGTTGGGTCGACAGTGTCTAACGCGGGTCTTTCTGTCCATGAAGCGGTTATTGCAGAGTTCAATATTTCCCTCAAACCCCCCGAGGAGAGCTCGCTGCTTGGGCAGAATCTTCTCATCCTCAAATTTCGCATTATTTTCTAAACTTTGCCAAACCACGGAGACTTCTTAAGTAAACTGATAAGTGCTTTCAATGAGGCCTTTCCGCTTCGGTTCATATAAACTTTGGATTACGATAGGTTTACGCACCTCTGCAAAAATATGCGCTCGCTCTTGCATATAAGAAAGTTCACTGACTCCACTCAACTTCTCGAATTCATTTCAAATTACAGAAAAATTTATCTAAAAGTAATCAAGTCAGCAAATAAACTGTATTATCAAAATCGTTTGACAAGTGCCAAGAATGTTTCTAGGGAAACCTGGTCCATTGTTGATGAGCTAAGAGGGGGGAGAAGGCTCGTTGACTCGGATGAAGTGCCAAGTCCAAATGAGTGAGTCATCAACATTAGCAAAAGTTTTACTTCTAGTATTTTGCCGGCCTTCGACCCTCTTTCGCTTCTTCATTTATTTTTTACACAGCTTATTGAGTAATCTATTGGTATATTTGTATATAATGATACAACATCCAACGATAATTCTTTGGTATTTTTTGTTGTTTTATAAAATCACAAACACTCCAAGAGTCTTTAATGCAATATTGTGACTTTCCCAATACATTACTCAAAACTGCTGACAGATATTTAGATAATTGGTACGTTGGAGCATTTATGTTACT